TGTAATATGAATAGTAATGCATTCTACTGTAATACATAAAAAATAATTAAAAAACAGATCTCAAATTATACTAGAGCTATAATATAAAAGTTACTTGGTATTGGCATCAGAAGAGATATGAAGACCAATAGAATACAATAGAAGACACAGAGATAAATGTACATAGATATAGTCAACTGATACTCCATAGAGGGACCAAAAACATGATGAAGAAAAGGTAAACTTTTTAACAAATGGTGCTAGGAAAACTACATATCCATTTGTAGAAGAATGAAACTATATTCTCTCACCCTGTACAAAAAAATCTACTCAAAGTGGATCAAAAACCTAAGTATTAAAGCAGAAACTATGCAACTAGAGGAAATCTTTTTTTAAGGAGAGAGAGAGAGAAAAGAGAGAGAGAATTTTTTAATATTTATTATTCAGTTTTCAGTGGATACAACATCTTCATTTTATTTTTATGTGATGCTGAGGATCGAACCCAGCACCCTGCGCATGCCAGGCTGCGTATTACTTCTTGAGCCACATCCCCAGCCCAACTAGAGAAAATCTTAGAGTTAACTCTCCAACATATTGATGCAGGCACTGAATTCCTTAACAAAATTCAGAGAGTTCAAGAAATAAAATCAACCATCAATAAATGAGATGGTGTAAAATTGAAAATCTGCACAGCAAACGAACCAAGAATGTGAAGACAGCTTACAGCATGGGAAAATAATTTTGCCAGTTATTCTTCTGACATGGTATTAATATCCAGAATATATAAGGAAATAAAAAATATTAATTCTAAATAAACAAGTAACCCAATTAATGAATGGCATTTGAATTAAACAGATATATTTGAAGGGAAGTAAGGCAAAGAGCCAACAAATACATGAAAACATAATCAACACCCTTAGCAAACAGGGGGATGCAAATCAAAACTATAGTAAAATTTCATGTCATCAGAGTTAGAATAGCAATAATCAAGAATGGATGACAATGTGGGGAAAAGCTACTCTCATATGTTGTTGGTATGAGTGTAAATTAGTACAACAATATTGGAAAGTAGTACGTAGATTCCTCAGAAGAATAAGATTGGAACCACCATATGATGCCACTCTTTAACTCCTTTGTATTTATCCAAAAGAACCAACTTCAGCATAGAATATTGATATTAGCATAGAAATGTTTAGCATTGTGCAATTCACAATAGCCAATTTATGAAACCAGCCCAGATGTCCATCAAAAGACAAATGAACAGAATGTGGTATAAAAACACAATGTAGTTTTATTCACCCATAAAGAATAAGGAAATTATGTTATTTTCTGGTGAATGGGAGGAAATGGAGAACACCAAGTTACATGAAATAGCCAGACTCAGAAAATCAAGGGTTAAATACCTTCTCTCATATATGGAAGCTAGGAACAAATAAGGAATTTAAAAATGAGAGTATCCCATGAAAATATAATAGAGAACTATATAGTAGAAGAAGAGGGTTGAGGGATACTGGCAAAGAGGAGTAACAGTAGAATGAAATTGAGTAAATTATGCAATGTGCATGTATGAATATATCACAGTGAATTCCACTTTTATCCATATGTATGATGCACCATTTGAAAAAACAATAAATTAATGGAGGGAATACCTATTGATTAGAGGAAGGGGATCAAAAGTAGAAAGGATATCAGGGAAAGAGAAAATGCTGGGGGCTGAAATGGAGCCACAAGGAACATGGGAGTTCTGACGTTTCTTTAACATACTGATTTCATTTCCTTTTAATATATACTTTGGAGAGGGAGAGATTCATCATTTGGTTGTTACATTTTCAGCTTTTTGAGGAACCTCTAACCTATTCTCCATGGTGGATGTACTTATTTACATTCCCACAAACAGAATATTCTGTTTCTTTTTTTATTGTTGGTTGTTCAAAACATTACATACTTCTTGACATATCATATTTCATACATTTGATTCAAGTGGGTTATGAACTCCCATTTTTACCCTGTATACAGATTGCAGAATCACATCAGTTACACATCCATTGATTTACATATTGCCATACTAGTGTCTGTTGTATTCTCCACATGCTCACCAGTATCTTTTACTTCTTTTTCTTATCTGTTATTTTTATGTATACATGACAGTAGGCTGAAAATAGCAAGGACAGTAGAATGAATTGGACATAATTTCCTATGCTCATATATGATTACACAACTAGCATAACTCCAATAGCTGTTCTAACCAGGGTGAGATTATACCTCAGGATTTTGATATGTATTTCCAAGGTGGTGAATGATATCAAGTATTTTGTACATTTATTGGCCACTTGTAGTTTGTCTTTTGAGAATATCTTAGTGACATAATTTAATTGAAATATTAGCTAAGATTTGAGTGCTTTATATAGTCTCGATAATAGGACTGTGAGATGAATACCATCAGATATTTTCTCTCATTCTCTATGTCTGTGGATGGTCTCTCAACTCTGCTGATTATTTCCTTTGCTGCAGAGAAGCTTTTTAGTTTAATGTAATTAATTTGTCAATTTTTACTTTTGTTTCATGCTCTTTTGTAGACTTGTAAAGAAATAAAAAAAAAAACATTGGTTACCTTTTCTTCTAGTTATATTAGAGTTTTGAGTTTTACACTGAGTACTTTGATGAACCTTGAGTTGATTTTTGAGCAAGGTTGGAGAAGGGGGTTGAATGTCAGCCTTCCATATATCCATATCCAGTTTTCCCAGCAGTATTATTTGAAGAGGTTGCCTTTTCACCAATATATATTTTTGGTGTCTTTATCAGGAACAAGTTAGCTGAATACACATGGTCTTTTTTCTGAAACCTCTATTTTAAACTCTTTGTCTAATAGTCTGTTTTCATGCCAACACCATGCTTCTATTTAGTTACTATGTTTCTGTAATATATCTTGAAATCAAGTATTATGGTGAATCCAGTTTTATTCTTTTTCTACAATATTGAATTGCCTATTTGGTTTCTGATTCCATATGAATTTTAGAATGTTTTCTACTTTTATGAAGAATGTCATTGATATTTTAATGGACATTGCACTGAATCTATAGATTGCTTTAGGTAGTTTTAAAAATTTTCACAGTATTAATCCTTCCTGTCCTTGGACATGGGAGGTTTATTAAACATTTAATGTTCTCTTCAAATTTTTCATCCATGTTTTGTTCTATATTTTGTTGTTATTTTAGTTCTACATAATATTAGTGCTCATTTTGACATAATAATTCAATCATGGAAGATAATTTGTTCTAATTTATTCCACAGTACTTACCTTTTCTTCCCCCTCTTCTCTCCCCATCACTTCCCTACACTGAACTGATCTTTATTCTATTTGTTTGCAGTTTTTTTTTCAAATTATTGCCTCTGGATATAAATAAAGGTGAGATTCCCTGTCTTCGGGTATTTTTCTTAATTTTCACTCTACAGGCCTTTACATTCCTTAGTTTATTACTAGGTATTTTTGTAACTATTGTGAATGGGATGCTTTCTTGATTTCTATTTTAGCAAATTCATTATTGATGAATAGTAAAAAGCAATTTGAATTTATATCTTGTTTTTGAAACCTGCCACGTTTTAAAATTTCATAGTTATAATATGCATTTGTTGGAAACTTTAGTTTTTCTTATGTATAGAATTCTATCATCTATAAACAAGGATAAATTGACTTTCTCTTTTCTTATTTGTATGCCTTTATTTCTTCCTATTGCCTAACTACCCAGGCTAAGACTTCTAGGAATATACTGAATCACAGTGGTTAGAATGGAAATCCTTATCTAGTTTTTGAACTTAAGAGGAAATGTTTTTAGCTTTCCTCCATTGGGTAAAACATTGTTGTGAGCATTCCATATAGAGCCCTTATTAGGTTGAGGTGTCTTTTAATTTATTCAGTGATTCTATTGCAAAAGTCATGTTGAGTTTTTTCAAAAGCTTTTTGTTTGTCTATTGAGATGACAAGATGATTTTTATCTTCATTCGAGGCATAAGAATAAAGTAGAATACATATAACGTTTAAAACTTATAAAAATTAAATTCAACTTAAAAATACTTTTGTAATCACAACAAAATAGAATCAGAAATCAACACCTAAATCAGCCAGAGAAATTATACAAATACATGGACATAGGAAAACACATTTGAAAAAGTAGTAGGTAATTCACAGGATGAGAAGGAAACTTAAAAATTTCTTGAAACAAAAGAATATGGGAAGATAACCTAGGGACTGGAGTTTTAGCTCAATAGTAAAGCACTTGCCTAGCATGTGTGAGGCACTGGGTTTAATCCTCAGCAGCACATAAAAATAAATAAAATAAATATCAACAACCAAAAAAATTTTTAAAAAAGTAAGACAACCTAAGAAAAACATGTGGAATGCAGTCAAGGCAATACTAAGAAGAAAGAAATGAGTGCCTATATGAAAATAGTGCCTACATGAAAATAGTGCCTACATGAAAATAGTGCCTCAACTCCCCTTTTATCAAGAGCACTGTTGTCCTAACTCAATGCCAATCCAATGAAGTGGTTTGTTCACCCTAAAAACAGGGTAGCGTTTCTGCTTTGACCTGATTCCTGGCTCTCCCCACTTTCTTTGGCAAGTCTGTCTCCTGTGCACTGGTTCTCTCAGAAGCACCGGTGACACCAATTGTAGGAAAGATTGTAGGGACCCTCATCAACCCAGCTTCTAGGCATGAGGGTCAGGCACATTTGACAAGAACCCCCGAAACTGGCCAAAGCCCAAACACAAACCCCAAGGTTTTCTCTGGAGAAAGCAACTCAAAAGATCCATAGGACAAAAAAGCGGGGTGGGTGGGTGAGAACCACATAAACATTGACCAGTGGAATGGGCAAGTACCCTGGAGCTACAGAGAATAAACTGAAACTGCTACAGGGAAAGTGGTTTATTGAATATTGTACTGAAGGCCAAGGGACCATGTCACCACCAGCTGGTACTGCAGCTGGTACCGGCATTTTGAGGTGTTTGCAGCGTGCAATGTTCTTCAAAAGCATTTCCTCTGAACCACGAATTTGCCAAATTCCTTAAAGTCCTCAGAAGTGACCCACATCTGCTTGAAAGTGCTCATAGAAGTCATGATGGATGCACCAATCCACACAGAGAAACATCTGTCAGGAGAAGCAGTGATCTTGATGGGGGTCCCCCTGAAAGCCATCTCTTCCAGTTCTTTCATGAGCCTTTCCTCCAGCCCGGGGAAGAGCGTGGTGCCTCCAGACAGCACGATGTCTGCAAAAAGGTTGCTCTGGATGTCAGCGTCGCACTTGGAGATAGTGCTGCAGACCATTTTGGAGAGCCCGGGGTCATGGATGCCCAGCTGGTCGGGCGCGAAGAGGACCTCAGGTACCTGGTATAGATGGTCCCCCATGTGGATGACATTGCCATCGGGCAGTTTGAATTCTGTGAGGACCTCCTGCCGCCTCTTGGATGGCTCTATCTCGGGCTCCAGGGAGATGTAGCAGGACTTCTCTTTGATGTCATCCACCACGGCCTTGTTGAGGATGCAAGGGAAGGTACAGCCTCGGGCTAGGAGGAGCCGTGTGAGGTGCTCTGTGATGTCTCTCCCTGCCACATAGAGCTTGGTGACTGCGTGCGGGAGGGAGTAGCCCTCAAAGACGGGGACAGTGCAAGTGATCCCATCGCCACTGTCCACCACCAGGCCGGTCACGCAGGCCGAAGCATACAGTGCTCCCGCCGCGTGGTTGAGCAGGTAGAGCGCAGGCACACTGAATTTCTCAAACAGGATCTCCGCAGTCTTCTCGCGCGTCTCTCTCGGGTTCAGGGAAGGCTCTGTCAGCAGGATGGGCTGTTCGCTGGGTTTCACCCCCAGGTCCCACTCGAAAAGATGCTTCCAGAGTTTCTCCATGTCATCCCACCTGGTCACCAGTCCACGCTCAATCGGGTAGTGCAGATATAAGGCATCATACCTGTACTGGGCTTCTTCCCCCACGAAGTACTTCTTGCGATTGGCCCTGGCGGAAGGGATGTTGAATTTGGGATGCCCCACGACAGAGTTGATGACTTGACGGGGTCCAATCTCCCCAGACAGGCCTACCTTGCAGAGTCCCGAGCCGTTGTCAAAAACCACTGCAGGGATGTCCAATGTCTGTGGATTAGACATGTCTGCGCCTGGTCTTCACCAACCTGAAGGACGAACACCTTGGCTGCTTGGTGAGATGACTCCACACGTACCTCTGGAAGTCTTACAGCCGCGGGATGCTGGACTTCTCAACTTGTCACCCAGGTGAAGCCAGCAGGCTGTCCTCGATCCACCAGAACACCCCGTTCTCAACCCATGAATGTTACCTCCCTTCTGGTGGCCCAGGGCCTGCTGAGGCAGTTTCAAGGATGGTCGCCTGGAGCCAAACAATGTCACCAAGGCAACCGTTGTCCTCAGGCAGCATGGGGGGTGGGGCCTCTGAGCTGCCAGAACTCCCTGCTTGGGGAGGAGTGAAGCAGAACAGGTGAACTGTGCCTACACACCGCTTTGATCAGATGGAGATCCCAAAGCAGGGGTCTAGCTGTAGAAAAAAACTGAGGCTGCTTGTCCTGTGGAACAACCTTGCCTGTTTGGGCTTTGCTGGATATTTTCATTAGACACAGCAAAAAAGAAAAAAAAATAGACAAGAATATATTCATATATGTTCCTATATGTATTATTTTATTTTAAATATATTATCAATATATGCATATGTACACATTGCAATTATATATCAATTTGTATACATATTTGCATATCACAATAGATAGACATATTTGTATATCTACTCACTTGCTGATCTACTTTAGGAAGGTAATATAACTCAGACACCACATACTGAAAATGTAACTGTGAGAAATGAAGATTAAAAGTTATGAGTAGATGCATAACAACCTTAATCTGATAATAAGTATCTATAATAGAGTGGTGATACAGGTGTGGGTATAATCACAGCTTTATTACTTTCTCCCTGATGAAATAACTGAGGTATTAGATATTATTATCTCCCTGGAAACTACTACAAAATGATAATGTATATAACATATAAGTTTCATTTTTTGTTTAGTCTGAGAACTCAAAGTACAGTTTTAGTTTTAGAACAATTAGGAACAGACAAGGTATGGGCTTGTCCAATAGACCTGCCTTATGTGGTCTGCTGATCTGGTGTATGTGAAATAATAGAAATTTCCTTTCTTTGCTAAGAGGAGCAACTAAACATTATACTCAAGTTCTTGTTCAGTATAGATTGCCATAATCAACTCAGAAAACCCTTTCTTTTATTTTCCTTTAAATTTATATATTTTTACAACTTTACTAAGGTCAAATTCACATACCATAAAAATTCACTTAAGGTGATATAGTATATTTCTACAACAATGATTTTAATGTGATGACAGATATTTTCATATATAAAAATGCCAATTTTAGAATATTTTCTTTACCTCATAAAGAATCTCAGATACCCTTTTATTTTCAACCCATATTCTCCTGAGCCCTATGTCCTAGTAAAATATTTTTTGTCTTCACTAATTTTACATTTTCCACATTTTTTTCATATAAATGGAATCATATAATATGTGGGCTTTTAAATCTCTGACATCATTCGCTCTGCATATTGCCTTCCAGATTGTGCCAGTGTTTTGATATAATACAATTTATATATTCATTTGTTGATGGACATTTATTGTTTTCACCTTTTGTTCATTGTGAAATATGATGCTAAAAGCAATATTATGTATTTTTTGTATGGACTTATGTTTTCATTTCTCTTTTGTATATATCTAGAGGTTGAATTGCCATGACATATGACAGCAACTATATCTTTCATCATTTGAGTTCTGTATGTCTGCTTTCCAAAGTGTCTTTGACATTTTACATTCCCACATACATTGTAGGTGAGTTCATCCTTATACAAATTTTTCCCAAAAATATAATCTCTCATTTTTATTCTTGGCATTTTTGTATGTCTAAAGTATTATGTCATTCTGGCTTTGATTTGCATCCTTGATAACAAATGATGCTAAATTTTTTTTTTCATATGCTTATTGGTCATTTGTATACCTTGCACATATTTGTATGCTGACATTTTGCCCTCCTTTAATAAACCTGCTTTTTAATTACTGAATCCTATGTGTTCTTTCTGAATTGTAGATAGTAATCTTTAATATATATTTTGTATCATTATATATTAATTCATTTCACTTTTCCTTCCATTAAGTTGTTAGGATCCTTTCAAAAAACAGTTGACCATGGGCTGGGAATGTGGCTCAAGCTTTTGCCTGGCATGCTTAGGGTGCTGGGTCTGATACTCAGCACCACATAAAAATAAAATAAAGATGTTGTGTCCACCGAAAACTAAAAAATAAATAGTAAAAAATTCTCTCTCTCTCTCTCTCTCTCTCTCTCTCTCTCTCTCTCAAAATAAAACAAAACAGTTGACCATAGACACATGGGTTGTTTGCTAGTTTGCCAATTGCATTCCATTGATCTGTATGTCTATTCTTATGCTTGTAGCATGTTTCAATCAATCATTGATTGTTGTTACTCTGTGATATATTTTTAAATTAAGGAGTGTGAGTTGTCCTTCCTCTTTTTCAGTATCATTTTGACCATTCAAAGTCCTTGCAGTTTTATTTGAAGATAAGTTTGTCAATAACTACAAATAATTCATCTGGGATTTTGATCAGAATTTCATCGAATCACTAGTTAGATTGGGACAGTATTACTAGCCTAACCCTATCAACTCCTCCAATCTATGAACCTGTGATTTTTCCCATTTTGGGGATCTATTTAAATATCTTTAAAAATATTTTCAGGTTCAGAGTAAAATTTTTGTAAATTATTATATAATTGTAATTGCTTCCTTAATTTGATTTTCAGATTTTACATTGCAAAAGCATAGAGAAATAATTTATTTTTGTATATTGAACATGTAGCCTAAATTCTTGATGAACTAGTTAGTTTGGTCTAAAGTTTTTAGTGAATTCTGATGTGATTATAATATAAATGAATTTTATATGCATAATATACATAAATTAAAACATGTGCATGTACATATATATATATTCATTAAATATATCACATATATATTTGTATTTCCATGCAATCAGCAAATAGATATGATTTTATTTCTTCTTCTCCAATTTTCATGACTTTTATTTCCTTTCTTTTACTAAATGCCCTGTCTATAACTTCCAGTACAACTTTGAATAGAAGCATTAAGAATAAATATCCATGTCTTGTGCCTGATCTTTAGGCAGAAGCATCCAGTCCTTTACCAATAAGTATTATATTAGCTATAGGTTGTTTACAATTTCCGTTTTTCAAGTTATGGGATTTACTTTTACTTTCTAGTTTTTAAGTGATGTGGTCATTAAAGAGTGAAGTGTTTTTTTTCCAAATGCTTTATCTATATGGGTTGAAATAATCATAAGAATTATAGTTTTTATTTTATTAACATGATATATAATTAAATTGATTTTCAGTTTGTAAAATGTTGTATCTCAGGAGTTAATTCATTTGTAAATGGTATATATCTTTATATATGTTTATGGTTATATAATATGGTTTATTAGCATTTGTTGAGGACATTCACATCCATATTAGTAAGTAATACTGGTCTACAGTTTTCTTTCCTTATGATATTTTCATCTATTTTTAAAATCAGGATAATGCTTAATTCAATGACCTAGGAAGAGTTACTCCATCTTCTATTATTTGGAAAAGTTTATGGAGTATTGCTATTATCTCTGTTAGAATTGAACAGTGAAGTCATACTGCCATGGGCTTTTCTTTGTGGGTAGTTTGTTGGTTACCAATTCAATCTCTTATTTGTTATATGTATATTCATATTACTATATTTTCCATAGATCATTTTCACTGCATTTGTTCATTTTACCTGAATAATTTGATCTATGTCATAGCATTATGTGTGTAATTATTTAAAATCTTTATTTCTATAAAGATCAGTAGCAATACCCCTCATTGTTTAGATTTTTAAAACAACCTAATTTGAGTTTTATTCATTTCATATTTGATTTTCTATTGTTTAATTTAATAATTTCTGCTATATTTATTATTGAATTCTTCTGCCTTTAAATTAGATTATTAATGCACATTAATTATATAAATTAATGTGTTTCAGTGTGACATTTACATAAATGCATATATTGTGCTCTGGTCATGTCCACCATTCCATCTACCTTCTTTTTCTACCTCTCTGCTACCCTCAGCCTAGATTATTTTCCCCTTCCATAATAGTCCCTCTATTAGGTCATTTTATTTTTAAATTTTTTCATATGAGACAAAATGTGATTTTTTTTCTGTTTCTGCTTAATTTTGCTTAGTACATTGTTCTTTAATTGTAATTTCTGGTAAGTGATATGATTTAATTCTGCTTTATGGCAGTATATTACTTTGTTGTGGATATAGACCATATATTTTTTATTCACTTATCTTTTGTTGGATGCCTAAGCCGATCTTGGCTATTTTGAGTAGTGTCATAATAAACATTGGTATGCAGGTATGTATTTTGTATGCTGACTTAATTTCCTGTTAACAAATACCCAGGAGTAGTATAGGTGGGTCTTATGATAGCTTTATTTTTAGTCTTTAGTCTATATTATTTATTTCTGCCATGCTTTTTATTATTTCTTTCTTTATGCTGATTTTAATTTTAGTTCATTCTAAAACCTTGAGGTATAATTATTAGTTATTTTTCTGAGATCTCTCTGCTTTTTAAATGTAGACATTCATACACCATAAACTTCCTTCCTATAATCACTTTCAGTGTATTTTCAGTGTATCCCACAGGGTCTGATATGTTTTCATTGCTGTTTGATTTTAATTTCCCCCTTGATTTCTCCCATGTCTTACTCTTCACTCAAAACTTCATTGCACAATCTCTCTGTGTGTATAATTCCTGCAGTTTCTCATTTTATGGATTTCTGGTACCCCACCCAAAAAAATGTTAGGTTTTGCTTAATGACTTAAATATGATTTTTGAAAATGTTCAATGTAACAGTAAAATTAATGTGTATTCTGTAGATGTTGAGTTGAAATTCTATACATGTCTGCTAAGTCTATTCAGTTCATAGTGTAATTTATCTCTGATGTTCCTTTTGTTGATTTATTTTTTTGTC